GAGGGATGTTTAGATGGGAAGATGCTAAACAAAATTAATGGACCAGCCAATCAGTGTGAACATCCCATCCCCAGTGATTGGGCATGACAGAGCAAAATCTCAACTATCCAGGATTGTCTGGTAGGGTGTGGACCGGGGATTTCAGGCATGCTAAACCTGTGCTGTGCCCTTCTGTAGTCCTTCCTGCCCTAGTATATTTGGTGGGTTCTGAAACCAGGCCCAAAGGGTTTCAAATACTCCAAGCAATGTTCCCTCTAAGCTGTGGAGTCTTGTGAGCAAAAAATCTACTTTGTGAGCTCCTGGCATTAAGGTTGTGAGCGAGCGATTTGGCTGCTGCATAGATTACTTTGCTCTGGAGCCCCATCCTTCCTGAGCGAAGACAAAAATGTGTGAGCCAGAGGCTAAAAAACTGTGAGCTAGCTCACACTAACTCAGCTTAGAGGGAACGCTGACTCCAAGATGTGTCTTTTTCCTCTGTGACTAATGTATATATTTGTAAACACTCTGCAGTACATGATGTGAGGATTCTAAGTGTGCCTCTTCCTTCTCTTTTGCTGCTGATTGGCTTGTTACTATCCAAAAGGTGATGTTTGCCTCAGTCCCAGCTTCCACTGTAGTGACATTTGAATCTCTCATTATGGTTTCTCACATTAGTGCTTTTTCCCAGCGAGTTGTCAGGGGAGAAGACAGGAATTCCTTCTGAGAATGTGAAATTGCATGTTTTGTTGTTGCTTCTCCTACTAGGCCCCTGCCACACGCAGGGAAAAGACGGGGCGAAGGGAAAAGACGGGGCGAAGCGCGGCTTTAGTATGCGACGGCGGCAAGACGCGCCGCCGATCCCACGGCCAGGATGAAGCGCCTCAACCGGATGAACCACCGAAGTAGGTGGTTCATCTTTGACACACTTCATCGGAGGAAGGGCCGGGTTGGAGGCGGGAGCGCGACGCCAGGCAGATGTTGCCGTGGGATCGCGCCAGTCTGATGCGCCTCCAATCCGGCCTGCTCCCGGCTCAAACTGCCTCGTATGAACGGGGCCCTAGAAGCCTTTCCCTTGCAGAATGCTGCTCCTCAAGGAATTATCTCCCCCAAGGACTTGGACTCTTGTGCAGAGGTTTCCTTCCCCAAGTAGGCTCTGAAGGTGTCTGGGTGATATCGTTGAAGTGGCCATAATTCTTTCCTCTGTGTGCCTGACAGAAGGCTATGTGTTTTCAGGAGAGGGTTCAAACTCCCATCTGCAGAACTGTCAGGAGTGTGGTAGCTACAGCATTCTTACAGGGAGGACTACAGTCCTCTCTGTTTCCTTTGTTCTTTTCCTTGTGCTGTATGTTTAAGTGTGGACAGGATGCAGTCAGGTACGATGGCTGGCTGACTGCATGTATGGATGATGTGGAGGTGTCATCAGCATGCTGCTCCATGATTGGTAAGTGTCAGCAATGTTGCTATGGATTCCAGAACACCTGTTATGCTCATAGTTCCTTGGGCTGGGTTTCTGGAATTTCTTTTCTATGTTGGGAAAGCATAGTTAAATGACTTGCTATGCCAGTGGTGTACCGATATCAATGACAAACCAGTGCTACAGAGTTTAGGGTTCCTAAAAATTGCAGTATGACAGTGTAATTTCATAAAACTCTACTTGAACAGATTACTATGTCTAATAGTAGCATATTTCCATATCTATACCAGATCATTGCTTTGTGCTTTGTTTATAATAAGTCGGTATTTATTAGAATATTCCCCCCCATTCCATAAATTTAAACATATGAAGAATGTTGCTTCTTAATCATATTTTTACTACAGTGACGAATCCTTGTTCTACTGGATTTTCTCTACATGGAAAAAGTACCAAACTATACTTTGTTAACCTTTACTGTACCATTCCTCAGTGAACTGTATCATTTCAGAATGGCATATCCAGCACTGCAAACACTTCTTGTAATGTACCCAGACTCTGAGCAGAATTATACTAAAGGAATTATTGAACTGTATTATTTTGTAGTGTTGTTAGCAGGCAGTGATTTAACATAAACTGACTAGGGCTACCTTGTCTGTTGCTCTGGCTCAATTTAGATCATAATGTGGCATGGTACATTTTCAGATTGCTTTCAGCTATTTTGCTGCAAATACTACTTTAATATAAGAGTATAAATAGGAGAATTGTTTCCTTATAAGAAGACTGTGCTATTTTCTAATGAAGTTATATAACTGATACCTCAGCAATACTAAAGTCGAACTATTTATGGAAATCCCACACACAAAGAGACTGCTAAATCAGGAAACAGCTTACATTCTCCCAAAGCAAAAACATGAAGCTAAAATTAGATGTTTTTGGGGAAATCTTTTTAGCTAAAGTCCTAAGCAGCATTTGAATATTATATCTTAGGGCATGCATTTAGCCATACAGACCTGCTCATACCTTAAGATTGGTGGTTTTTGCCCTTCTCTGCCTGCCTGCCTTAAGTGCAGTGGTCTTAGTGGGAATGTGGGAGAGGGCTTTCTCAGCTGTAAGCCCCCAGGCTTCCGAATTCTCAGCTTCCAGAAGCACTGTTAGTCCTTTCACTATTAGCTTTCCAGAGGCTGGTAAAGACAATTAATTTTTCAAGGACTGTTGAAGATAGTAGGATAGTTTTATTGTCGAGCTTGTTTTAGTGCATTGTATTTTTCTGCTTTTTCTCTTTTTACTGTGGTTCATTATTGTATTTATTATTTTTGAAGTTCTTCTGGGTTTTGTTGCTGTCATTTACTGAATGTTTAGGTCTTGAAGATTTATAGTTTTTAGGCTGCCCTTTGCTGTTTATTTTTACTCCTCTGATATACAGGGTTGCATTCAGACAGCCTATTTTTCTGGGCAATAATTTTTCTGTGCCACTGTGGCATACTGGCTACAGTATTGGCCTTAGGAACACCACACACAACCTGACATGTAGCTCATTGGGAGACCTTGGGCGAATCACCATCCCTCAGACTAACCAACCAACCACAGAGTATTGTTGTGAAGATAAAGGAAAGGAAGAGGAATTGTGCATGCCACTCTCAGAAGAAAGGACAGGGAAAAAATGAATAGGTAATGAATAGTAGCTAATTTATTTGTAGTATTCTTAAGGGGGTCAGAGGTCATCCCTGTTGTGAGCCTGAGTCAGAGAAGGGCAGTCAGTCTGATGCAATAACCGATAGCCTCTGCATAGAATGGGAGAGTGGAGAGTGGTTATTTTCATAAGCTATTCTTGCATCGTATCGTTCCTTTTCAGAGAGGTATTCAACAACTCATTACTGCCTTTCTTAATTCTTGCCAAAGTACTGATTGAGAGAGGAAAAAATACCATAGGGTCCAACCTGCATCAGGATAACTATAGGTTGTTACATTACAGCCTTACTTTGTCAGGCATACGGCTCTAAATATCCAACGGCTTAATGCTTTCATACTCAGAGATCTCTATTTCTACTATGAGAGCCAGTTTGGTGTAGTGGTTAAGTGCACGGACTCTAATCTGGGAGAACCGGGTTTGATTCCCCCCTCCTCCACTTGCACCTGGCTGGATGACCTTGGGCAAGCCATAACTCTGGCACAGCTGTTCTTGAAAAAAAGCAGTTTCTGTTAGAGTTCTCTTAGCCCCACCTACCTCACAGGGGGCCTGTTGTGGGGAGGGGAAGGGAAAGGAGTTTGTAAGCCGCTCTGAGACACCTTTGGGTAGTGAAGGGTGGGGTATAAATCCAATCTCTTCTCTTCTTCTTCTACTCTACTCAAATCTCACAGAGGGAGCTTTGACTCTCAAAAGCTTACACCCTGAAACTCTTGTTGTGGTTTCTACTGGACTTGAATCTAACTATACTTTAAAAAGTGTCCTGGGTTAAGCAAATAAGCACAATGGTCTCCTGCATTGTCTGGTTCATCCTTTCTGCTCACTCATACTTCAGGGCAAAACACCATATCTGCACTCTAACCACTACACTACACTGGCTCTCATAGTAAACCCTATGCTATCAATCTTCATCCCAGAACATGCTTTTGTCCTTTTGAAATGCAACTTTAGAATAACCAATATTTCTCTCACCATAACTTGGAAGCCTGTATTCCAGTAAACACAGGCATATCTAAGCCACATTCTCAAGACTAAAATAAACAGACAGAAGAGGTTATACATAGTATAGTGAAGCCTCCAGGATGTTCAGATTCTTGACCCTGAGCTGCCTCCCTATATACAGGGAGCTGTCGCTGCTTGGAAATGTACGTGAGTGTGGTGACCGATGTGCATGTACCAGATCCTGGCCAGAGTAGGCGGGACCCAAAGCAAGAGTGAGTCACTGGGTGCCATGGCAACAGTTCCTTTCAGCTGCATCCCATGTGCATCTGCAGCAGCATCTCTGTTCAATACTGGCCACAGCTTTTTCAGCAGCACGCTCGGTCCTCCACTCCCTTCTGTCAAGCAGAGGAAGCTTTGCAAACAGCACCATATGGGAAACAAAACATACAGAGGGATATTGGGGCTGCCTTTCCCTTGGTCTCTGATCCATTGCTGCTCATCTCCTGGGAGCCAGATGGAGAGGCAGCAGCCTCTTCAGCAGCAAACCCCCCCCCCCAAACCATTTCCACAATCTCCCTCCCCTTCCTCTCCACCATAAGCCTTGGAGGCTACCTTGGCAAAAAGGGATGTAGGAAGGAGCTGCCACAACGGGGCCCCCTCTGAGGAAACAGTGAGGGGAGGGTTTAGTTACCTTGAGGCGGATGGCTTGACCCAAACGGCTGGGGATTTCCTACTAGGCTCCTTCAGGCGGGGTCCGGTGAATGGACCCCACGGGAGCCAGAGGCTTCTTCAAAGGGTTAACCTTGCCCCCGAAAGGCGCAGCTCTGACAAAGGCCCTCCCCGCTAGAGCCAAAGGGGCTGCCCCCAATGAAGAGGTCCGTCCTCCCGAGACCTCTGCTCAGCCGGAGCTCCCACCTCCACCACCCAGGGGCCGCCCTGCCTTTGCTCGCTGTGTGCGGCGTCGGCGTGGCGTCCCTTTACCTTGACGCTGGTCTGGCTGGTCTGGGTCTCCGCCTCGACGCCGCAGCAGTGGCGCCCTCCGCTCCTGCCCTCTCGTCCGGCGGGCTCCCTGCGCGGGTGCGCCGGGCAGGTGGGCTGCGGCTGGCGGCTCTGGTAGGCGAGCACGGAAGGGATGGTGTCGGCCGCGTCGGTCTTGATGAAGAGGCCGTGCAAGGTGGCGGCGGTGCCCTGCGAGATGGTGGCGGTGGTCTGGTGGGGGGAATTGGACTCGTCCGAGTCCCGGCAGTAAATCACGCCGCTCTGCGAGACGTGGATGCTGGGAACGCAGCCCATCCCTCTGCCGCGCCGCCGCCGCCGCCGCTCCACCCGCGCCTCCCCTTGAGCCAAGCAAAGCCGCCCGCCCGCCCGCCAGGCAGCCAGGCGGCGGGGCCACGAGCGCTGCCCTTGCGACCCGCAGCGGCCGAGGACGGGTGCCGAGGCGGCCGAGAGTCCCCCTCCCTGCACCAGGCTAGGGGGCCGCCCCCGGCCCTGCGCCGCCGCCGCCGAGCATCGCCTCGCCCTCAGGCAGCAGAAGCCCCATGCGTTCCCCGCAACGCCTGCCCCCTGCTGCGACTGGAGCCCCCGGCCGCCTCCTGCCGGGCGGGGAGCCTGAGCGCCATCAGGGCATCTTTGCACGGCGCTGTCAGGACAGGAGGAGGAGGAGGAGGAACCCGGAAGACTCCTCGAGGGAACTTGGCGCGCTGCCCCCTGTCAGTGTAGTCACCTCGCGCTTCAGGGATTCTCAAACCCCCCCCCCCCCCCCACTCAAAGCTTTTAAAACAGTGGTCTTCTTGTTATGAATCGCGGAGATGATTATTATTATTTTTTGCATCCTTCTCTTCCCCCTCCCCCCAACATATTTACCTCAAACGTCGGTTAGACTGCGTGGGGCAGTTTCCTCAGGGGCAACTTTGGAAACAAACACACAAACATACAAAAAGCGACAACAACAACTAATATGTGGGGGAAATCCCGTCTGGCTCCCTCCACCGCCGGGACAACATTGTATGGTCTTTCTACCAGGAGGACCCAGGACGAATGACACAGGGTGCCTGTTGGCATCGTCGGTACGTTCTGAATGATTGTAGGAACCCACTTAATTTCCCAGTGACATGTCCCCATCGGGACTGGTCCCAGTACTTATTCATACAGAAAATTGCATCAGGGAACCTCCTGCCTACTTGACCCAGTAGGGACCCTCCTACCCCTGTAGTTTTTTTTACCTCTTGCTATGTCTAGTTGGGCTCTCCCTGCCCACCATAGGCAAGGTGCTGTTATCGAGGCACTGCATAGTGGCTGCATTCCCATTCTTCAACCTAAATTTACCTTCTTATTTACATCTGTTGCTTTTACTGTGTGGTGGCTAGCGCGCACAGTTGCTACCTACCTTCTAAATATCTGAGATCAACTTAGAGCCCCTTGTATTTTCTCTCTTCTAACCCTGGTTAATTATTTCAGTGCTTCTTTGTGTGATTTGGTTTCTAATTGCACTGTGGTTCTTAATTTTTTTATTTCATTGATTCCCATTCCTAGGGATGCCAGCATCCAGGTGGGACCTAGGGGTCCCTGGAATTACAGCTCATCTCCAGACTACAGAGATCAGTTCCCCTTGAGAAAATAGGCTATTCTCTTGAGGTTACAGCAATTTAAAAGTCCACCATGACCTTTGTTCTCTGGTTTAAGGGTTTCTCCCCTTTGTCCCTTGACACATAGTCAAGATGGAGTTAGCCCTTCATGGCTTGAAGATTCTCCCAGTAAGAATCCAACAAGAAAGAGCTAGATTCTCTGGTATGCCCAGAGAATTTATAATCTCCCTTTTGGAGGGGGGCTCAGAGGTTAAGACGCTGAGCTGCAGACCAGAAGATCTGTAGTTTGTCAGTTCGAGACCCTAGCGCCACATGATGGAGTCCGTCTCTGGCCCCAGCTCCTGCCAACCTAACAGTTCGAAAGCATGAAACTGCAAATAGATAAATAGGTACCGCTTCGGTGGGAAGGTAACAGCATTCCGTGTGCCTCGGCGCTTAGTCATGCTGGCCACATGACCATGGAAACATCTTCGGACAGCGCTGGCTCTTCAGCTTGGAAACAGAGATGAGCACCGACCCCTAGAGACAGATTTGACTGGCTTTTGAGCAAAGGAAACCTTTACCTTTACTTAGGATTATGCCTTTCTCCCTGGTACAGTATAGCCTTTTGGTTTTCCCAGTCTTTTTGTTAGGTGTGACATCCTAGCTAAGGTGTTAGATGGTAAACCTTTTGTTCCACTCCAGTCTGGTCTATTTGCATAACTAAGCACTGAAGTGCTCTGTGCTTGGGAGAAAAATTACTCATCTCCTGGAATTTTTCTTTCGCCACTGTCACCAGTGTACCAGCGTTGCAGCCTCTGGAGCGTGTGTAGAGGTCAACCCCACTTATTGAAATATTGAGGTGAGTTTGAACTTGGAAGGCATTTTTCCACATGTTGCATCAGGTATGATATTGAATACACTCCACAAATGTGTTCACCTGGCAACCACTTCTTCTTTTAGGCAACAGGCAAACGCTGTCTTGTTTGCTCAAGCTTTTAATGGAATATTAAAAGGTTATCTGCGTCTTATGCAGATTCTGTTCTGCTGTAGAGTTTCATTTAATTGCTTTGAATTTTACTTTACTATTTTAATCTGGAATAATAAATTTTAGAGATTGACTGAAAGGAAGGGTATATACATTTTGAAAATAAACAAGTTTGTACTTCACTGAAGCCATTTTTTGAAGAAAGGCTGCCACATATTCACCTTTTGCATACCTAGAGCTGGGCTAGTGAACAACATACATTTTTCTTCATGGCTAATTAATATCTTTCCTGGTAGATAAACAACTGTGGCTGTTCCTTACCATCAAATATGAAGAGGCATCTGTGAGATCAATAATCTCAGCAGTGATTATAGAAAATGTGATGGCATTATCCAACAATACCACCAAGTGTCTTCTTTCATTGTTCCTTCTGTTAGCTTTGTACAATAGACACATTCTCTTTACTATTTTATGCACATTTTAAAAGCACTTTTATCTAAGTGCTAAACAAGTACTGTGTTCCTAATAAATGTATTAATGAAGAAGGCCCAGACACACCAACATAACAAATAGTCATGTTTGTAGCCTTGCTGAGAAAAATTAGGTGTTATAGAAATTGAACATGATGCAGTGAAGTGAAGTAGTTCAAAAGATCTTTTAGTCTATATTAACAGTATAAATACAATTATTGTTCAAGCCTTGAAAATCATAACCCAGTCCTGGAAAGACCACATTTGGAGTATTGCAATCAGTTTAAACTGAATATTGACAAGATAGGAGGAATACAGAAGAGCTGTCAAGATGATTTGCCATCCCCAGAAGATTTTAGAGAGGTGTAGTAGGGTTGGCAGGTCCCCCCTGGCCACTGGCAGGGGATGGGGGGTGGGTAGGCTTGCTAGATCCAAGTTAGGAAGGTTTGGGGGTGGAGCCTGGGGAGGACAGGGACCTCAATGCCACAGAGTCCACCCTACAAAGTATCCATTCTAGCAACAAAATAATTGGGGGATAGTTAGAGTTAGGGTTGGAAGACTGCATGCTTTCACCTTTACTTTGTAAGGTTGCTCAGTCTGATGCTTGTACTGATCATGTATGCACTCTTTGTTTATTAAATTTTCTTACAATTTAAATGCTCGAAGTCTGAGCTCTGTGTCCATACCATGCTTGATTCAGCTACGTTTCACAAGGAGCAGTAAAGGTGAGAGGCTACAGGAGAGTACGGCATCCCCAAAGGGCAAAATGCAAAAGTGTGATAGATTGTGTTAGAAAGAGCAAAGTGGGAGATGCAGTAACTAGATGGAACCTTTGAACAGCGGCACAGTACAGAGTATTGTAAATACAAATCCTTCCAGCAGGAGAAACCCTTATAGATTTGTTGGTAGTAGTAGTTATGACCAAGAGAGAGAAGTGGAAAACTCTCTGAGAGTAAGGGAAAAGGCAAGGCCATAGTGTTGCCAGGAGGAGACCTGGAATGGCCATGAGACGGACCTCTCCTAGTTCCCAAGACCCCAAGGGAATTGGGTTTGCGAGCCCATTTATTCATATGACATAATACTTAGGCAGGCCAGTAACAACAAAAAGAGACTAAAATCATGTTTCCAGGAGCAAAACACTTCCATTGTCTACCACTACAGTTCTCCTCTTGCAACACATCCTTATTAGCTCTTGTCATTACCTGTTTACTTTCTCCTGAATATGTGTGTCCTTGTTCTTTAAATTCTTTCTTACAACAAATATTGATTTGTTTTAGAGTTGGTTTTGGTAACACCATTGAACACAGAAGTTCCTCATCTCAAGTGAAAGGAACCTCTACCAAATATTTGCAGCAAGGGTCAACTATCTGTGTATCTCTCAACCTTCTTCCCCAAACCCCACTCCTCAAATGGATTTCTGGTTCTCAAAACCCTCCCTATCCATGTTAGAGATATAGGCAGCAAGATGGAACAGGTCTATTAATGTTATTCAATGTAGTTTACTCTCAGGAAAGCGACTTTAGGATTGTAGCCACAGTAAGAGAAACCAGGGCCTTTTCATGTATTTAGAGACCCATTAGCACAAGGCAACATTTTTTCAAAGCATAAAGTAAAGGTAAAGGTTCCCTTGCTCAAAAGCCAGTCGAATCCGACTCTAGGGTTGTGGTGCTCATCTCCATTTCAAAGCCGAAGAGCCAGCGCTGTCCGAAGACATTTTTGTGGTCATGTGGCCAGCATGACTAAACATGGTAATTCCTGATTATTGTATTTGTATGTTAAAAGCTTCTTAGAAAAAAATCCATTATGGGTCACGGGCAGGGGATCTTATAAAGTGCTTGTCAAAATGTGTGCTCTATTGAGGCCAAATTTTGCCTCAGGATTTTTATAGGTTCTTCTATTTGCTCCTCTCTTGCCTTGAATGCCCCATGGATGAGGTTGCCATAAATCTGTTGCAACTGGATGGTACCTTCTTCTTTCTTCTGCCATGAACATAGAGTTCCAAGGCTGTAACCCAATTCATATGTTAGCTGAGTAACACAGCAGTCACAAATCGATGTGGCTGCATTTCATGATGTTCTACTAATGTATCAAATCTGAAAATCACATGGGTGGAGCAGATAACCCAGGAAATTGTTGATTTGTTCTGTCTTCTTGTAATGGTTCAGTACAGGTAACAATATGTTAAAACCTTTACAAACACTAACATTTGACCTTTCTGCCATCAATCCATAACTACCAAAAGCCAATTAAAATAAGTCACTCTTCCTGGCC